ATCATCAAATACGTACCGCTGATGATCTTCCAGCATGTTGTGGTTGTATGCCATGTGAAACAGGAACTTTAGGTCGATTATCAAGAGCAAAGATAGCCGTCTTTTTTGTTTGATAAGTGACTCGCTCCTGTGCCAAGACAGCTGTTGGCAGACATCATAACGTGTTACATGCGCACCTGAAGAGCTAAAGGATAACACCATTACAACGGATTCGAAACAGCAATTTAACTACACAGTTCATGGACCAATCAAGAACTTACTTCGCTTAAATGTATGTATCGAAAGAGCGAGGGGCATTACCACTGACTTTTCCAAGGGGAGCAAACATATTTGGGAGTCTCCTAAGCAAATTTGGGGCCGTCTTGCCGAACACCCATTTATATTTTTCCCTCGAATTTCACACACAATTTCGGAAGCACCTCTTAGGTGTATCTAACCAAATCAGACATATTCCTGGTCCGGTGGGACATACATTCTTTCTAATTCGGGACTTCTCTTGGGATTGTGGGGTTACAATACTTTCAAGATGCCTCATTGTATCGGATGGCATCTCCTCGAAATATTTGTAACCCTCTGTCAACAGTAGGACCTCATGCTGACCCTCTCAAAGCTCTTACTCATAAGTATTGTCCTCTGCGTGCCTTAATGCTCTCCTTTTGAGTTGATGGAATATTCCGTCTGGAACATCTGGGGCGTCCTGACGGCAGGACGGGGCCTCCTGAAATATCAAACAATGAGACAAACAGGTATGCTGGCCCTTAGCGGGTGGCAAAGAGACAGTTGCCACCATGTCGCCTGGTAGCACGGCACCTGGAAAGTGCTTTTTCCTACGTTGGGCAGCCTAAGACACCCCGAAATGAAGTTTTTCCCGAAATTGGGTCACGGTATGTGGGCATTCAGACAGAGCAAGATGTCATGTTACAATTTGTTTGTGTTTGCATGTTTGGTTGCATTTTCCATGCGAAGTGTTTACGGTTTCACTGCCTCTACTTTCAGCTGGGGGCGTTAGATTGTCAGTTAAGGGAAAGGAGCGAGTTGCTCGAGTGTCTCCTTCTGAACATGATCATACACCTCTGCTGTGGCTCGTATCAGTCAGCTGCTCGATGGTCAGGATAAGAAATCAGGAACGGCAACCAACACGGACGTATGCGGGACATACAAGGGGAATTGTCTATGGAAGGTCCTTTATGGTGCGCCGCAGGTGCACGGGTTTCTTGCATGGCGTATAGGGGCACGGATTTTTCATTCTTTTTTAAACAATCTGTTTTGATTTTCAAATTGCCAGTTCATTTTCAAACATATATCAATGCATGTCAACATTTGATATGGAAGTAGGGACGTTCCCTGTCCCCCACAAACCCCTGACCCCTGGAGCTTTAACAATTTCGCACCAAAAGAGAATCCGCTGAACACGTTAGGTACATTCCATGCGGCCTAGCTGCTGTTTACATACATCAGGGTCGGGGGAGAGGAAGCCGATTGTACCGCGTCCAAATGATGGAACCATCCCCACTCCCACCCCAACACTCGGAGCTGAGAACAGCGTGTTGGTAGCACTGCTGCCTCGCCCCGGCGTGCGTCCAGAACTTCATCCCACAACTGCGTCGGTCAACGGGCTGCGCCGGTGCCCAACTACCAGCGGTCGCCGCGCAAACTCCGCCGCCGCAGCTCCTGTCTGGGAGCAAAATGCAAACCAACAAGGCTCCCGCAGGGCCCGCGAGCGTCTGCAAGGGTCAGGCCCCATGGCCGTGACCGAGAGGAGATGCGTCTCAACGCACCGGCCCGTTCCAAAGTTAGCGCGCACCGCCCAAAAATAGGTTTGCGCAGCTAAACTGGGCACCGCGGCTGGTGCGTGTCGGCGTCGGTCCTGACCTGGAATCTGCGTCGCATCTGGAGCCGCCGGCTGCTGGTGGTCCCGGGCGCGCCGCCGCCGCCGACCCGGCACCGCACTGGTGTGAGCCCGCACGCCGGACCGCCGTCACCTCCGCCGCGCAACTAAATATTGCTTGAATCAAACTAGAATGCAGTGCTGTCCTTATGAATGAGCCATCACTCCTATTCGTCGGCGCGAGGTATGACGTCACGGCCAGGTTGGCGATCACGGCCGGCGATTGGCGGCGGTGACGCATGCGAGTGACGTCACCCCTATTGATTGAGACTGTCTGCGGAGGCCGCGGTCGGCGGCAGATGCGAACCGCCCTGTGCGACTCTGGCGATCCGGACCGCGTCAGTTCGGCCGGCACGGGCGGTCGAGCGCCGTTCTAGCCCACTGGCATACTGCGGGCCTCAGGTCTCTCAGCAGCTCGGGCGCGTGCCGGCAGTGCCTGCCACACACCGCTGGGAACTGGAGCTGAACCAGAAAGCGGTGGCACCCCGACCCCGAGGGGGCTTAAACAAGCGCCCTCAGTCCAGGAGGGGGGGGGGGGGACAGGTGGAAGGAGGGCATGGTCTTCTAGGAGCTGCGGGAGTCTTCACAGTTCAAAATAATTACGAACGGTACTGGTTTTGGTTGGTACTACTGCCCTTAACCTCCAAGCTAAAAAGATCGACAAAGCTTCCCCGGAGCGTGGGAATGAACCTTAGAACCTTTGAAAATGGATATTCGAGCTTGGAAACAAAAACATTAGCTCGCATAAATGGTCTCAAAACTTTATAACGTCAATATCTTCTGGGAAATGTTCTCGAATCTGTCCTGCAGGTGTTTGAAGACTAAAACACGACCTCAATGCTGACGGCGTAAGGCAACTTTTCATAAAGGCTGGAGTCATGTACGGTATTCCCGAGCTACCTCAGGTGTTGATGAATGAAAGGAAATCCCACGCTGCGCACTATGCTTGCGCTAGTTTAGATATAATAACTATCTGCACTTACCCACACCACATAACCAAGTATACTTTTACTAATTTCGTCATTCCAGTACGCCTGGGCTTAAAGGGAATGCCTCACATTTGAAGACATTGAAGCAAGCAGCAGACATGATGAAATAAGCTCACTTAAAACAATCTTTGTACTATTAAGAGGAAAAGAGCGCTCTAGGCGACACAATTTCCCTTCTTAGAGCACAGGGGGGGGGGGGGGGGGCTTTGGGGAAATGGTATGTAAGAAATAGTCTGCACATCTTCACGTGCGGCTAGCTCAGAAGCTAGAGGGGTTTGGGTCTTAAGAGGGGCAGGGCTGTGAACTGCACCGAATGGTCTTCAAGACGACTATTTCAGCTAAAAAAAAACATACAACTGTGGAACACTGCCCAGGCTGCACTTGCGCACATATAAATAGGCTCGCATTCCACAAATAGCCTGCAATTGACCCGGCAAAGCAGGAGCTGGTCGGGTACAGAGGGACATAAATATTGGATTATGGATACGCGCGAAAGTTGCTGGCGCTCACCGCCCGAGTCTGACGTATGTGCAAGGGCGCCCCATGGAGTTGAAATGTAGGTGCGAACGGCGGCCTGACGTCAGTAGGCACTTAGTGGACGCCGACCAGTCTTGGCGACGGTCCCAGTTGCTGCGCGCCGCCCAGCTGCACTGAAACAGGGCCCGTCACAGCACAGTGGTGTCATGCATACCGACCGAAATAGGCCAGCCCGCTTCTGACGGCCGAATGGTGAATGGTGAATCGAATTCGCCTATCTGTCAATGTCTGATCTGTCGATAACTTGGCTCGTTCGTTCATCCTTGGTGTTTTTATACTCATGCTGCATGGGTCGACCGGCTCGATCCTCCGTCTATGCATCAACCCTCTAAAATACTACACTTTTCGCGTGATTTTCGCATTGCACCATGCACTTGAATCAAAAATATCTCCTTCATTCGGATCGAGTCGTCAACGTTCTGAAACTGGACCAGCCCTGGCTGAACGTGCTGACGAGACCGTTCCAGGGCGGACGCAGCATGGTGGCAACGCCGTCACTTCCGACTGTGGTGCTGCACAGCGTCCTAACGGAGATGCCCTCCACGTCACCATCGGCATCCGAGCCACGGCCCTGGCACTCCCGCAGCACAGGAATGACCTCGTGCGCGCAGCGGGACCTTGCGTGCGCGGCACGAGCGTAAGGCGTGACCTCGGTCTGTCTTGTCCGGGCGCTCGGATTTGCTTTCGGTTTCCAGAACCGATGCTGCGTTATTTTTGTATCGGAGTTGCAGGTCTTTACGATGACTTCACGACCTTGAATATGCCAAGAGTACTGCTTAAAAGACGTAATGTGAAATCATTATATTGACGGTGCTCACTATTTCAAGCTGTGAGCAATCTTGAGAGCAATGGAGATGTTCCCTATTGAGGGTTACCACAGCTCCAAGTATTGAGTACCGTCAAAATGATCGTTCTTCGGCATTACAACGTCGTTTAACCAAAACCCTCCTACATATACCTTCAGTTATTACACGCCGTTCATTTATACTTTAAGTCTTGACACACTGAAGGTCGTCAAGTTCACACAAGTTCACAACGCCGACAACCAGGAGCCGAAGACCTTTCTTCCTTATATCAAGTTTGTGGTACCGGTCTACGTGTCAGAGCTGCCCCTGTCCCGGCCCAGCACGGCTGGTGTGTGGCAGCGTTACCCATGAATCAGTCCTAGCAACCAAGGCCTCAGTCATGGCCGTATTCGAGCCCTCAGTCTAGCTATTGACCATCGCACCTCATGCTCGCCTATTTCCTGAAGTGTTCACGCGCTCAATGTGTCTAGGTTCACTCCATCTCACTCTGGGTATCGCGGTCATCCCCGAATCACCCCGACGCGTTTTAATTTCTCAATGAGGTTTTTTTACTCAGCTTGGTGTACAGCTGAACGTGCTACCTCATCCTCGTTTCAACCCATCATTATGATGTTGCTTCACTCTGACGTCCTGCCATTGCCTGCCCGACCTGTAATTCAGAACGCAGGACATGTCCGGCCCCGGCCACGGACGGAACCCATGGCTTCGGCCAGCGTCCAGCAGCGCACAGGGAAACAGGACGGTGCCGGCGGCATGTTTATATGCACACACGGTGTACCAAGCGTCCGATGGCAGCGGTTCAGTGCGACTAGCACACAAAAGAGTATCACAGAACGGCTCTGGGTCCGGCGGGGGTCCGCCCGGCCCACCGCCTCCCAGCAGCGCGGCGGCAACACCGCGCCGCTCGCCAGCGCCCCAGCAGCGCCCGAGAGAGCCATAACAACCCACCCGACTTCAGAGCATGCAGCAGCGTTCTCACCCACAAGCGCTCAAAACAGGCCGTTCTCCAACAAAGCCGGAATGCATCGCGTCCCGTCGTCTATAATATGGCCAGTTAAACAAGCACCTCACATCCAGCCCGCCCCGACAGCACTAGGCGCGGCGGCGGACGCCGGCCAAGCCGGCCGCCGCCGCCGCCGAATCACTGCACGTCTATGAAGGCCGCCCCGGACGCGCGCGGCCGGTCGTCGCGCGGCCCGCTCACAGCTCCTGCTGCTGCTGCTGCTGGGCCTTGCGCCACGCCTCCAGACTGCACTGGATGGCCCGCAGCCGCTCCTTGGCCGGCTCGAACGACGACTGCAACGCTAGCGTCGACTGGTAGAACGAGATGGCCTTCTCGAGGTCACCCTGGCGGCGGCGGCGGGGGCGGCGGCGGTGACAGGCGGTCCCATCCCCCGCCGGCCCCGTCCCACGCGCCACGGCCGAGCGTCGCACATCGGGCCGTGTACAAGGGTGCGGGGGCGACTCGTCATTGGCGGGTGCTCTCGGTGATGTACTGCCTACGCGACATTCTTAAGGCCGGCTCCTCCAGCGAGCGAGATTACGGCGCCGACCAAAGCAAATAATCGCCACGGACACGCTGAAGCGTCGCACATGACGCCGTCACGCGCAGATGCATCACATAGAAGAGCGTCACACGTCGGAACGTCACACGTCGGGAGCGTCACACGTCGGGAGCGTCAAACATCGGCGCGTCACAGGGGCGTCATACGTTGGAGTATCAAACTCAAAGAACCACACATCAAGCGTCACACCACGGAACATCACACGACGCATCATCACGCCCCGGAGTGCCACACGTCGAAGGGTCACATTCGAGGGCGTCACACGTTACAACATCACACATCGGAGCGTCACATCCGGAGTGTCACACTACGGAGCGTCATACCCAGGAGCATCACACGTAGTAGCGTCACATGTCGGAGTGTCATAGCCCACAGCGTCACACGTCGGAACGTCGCACGTCAGAGCGTCACAAGCCAGAGCGTCACACCCAGGAACGTCACACGTCAAAGCGTCACACCCGGTGCGTCACACATCAGAGCGTCACACGTCACACCGTCACACGCCAAAGCGTCACAGCCACCCCGGAGCGTCACACGTCGGTGCGGCACACATCAGAGCCTCACGTCAGAACCTCCACGTCAGAGCACCACAGTCAGAGCGTCACACGTCAGGGCGTCACACGTCAGAACCTCCACGTCAGAGCATCGCGGTCAGAGCGTCACACGTCGGTCTCGGCAGGCATCACGCCCAGCTGCCGCGGATGGCGACAGGCGGCAGCGCCCCCTACGTCCAGGCGGGGTCCGCAGACGCCAGCCTGGCCTTGAACGCTTCAACTATTCCCACCGCACCGCTTCGGCTATCAGGCGTGACAAGGCACGGCAAAGTCAGGCGGAGCACTCCCCAGATAATCTACTCTGCAACGTGCGTACGAGCTGTACGCACTGCATCACCTATGACGAGAAATCACTTTGACGTAGCAGTGTTCGATGTGAGGAATATGACGTCATGTTTTAGTTCAATCAATGCGCACTAGGCGACCTGTTCTATACGCTGACCTTAGCGGCGTATATGTTGGCCATGGTGAAGTGGATGACGACAAACTTGGGCGATATCTCCAGCGCCATGTTGCATACGATCAGCGCATCGTTGTACAGGCCCGCTCTGAAACAGTCAATCATCTTCAGGACATTTGAACATTGCAGCTGGCTGAAAATACTTGTTGCCGCTCTCTAATTTTGACCCGTGAATACCGGCGTGCACTGGTAGGAGGCGTCGGAGCTACAACAATACTTTTGGAGCACGGCATTGCTGGCTTTGCTGTCATTCATTTGTCGTTTCATGTATTTATACAACATCGACTTCACCATGTCACTGCCACCACTGACAACACGAAATGCTACATGACAGTGCCTAATATTGTCATGTCAGACAATATGTAGTCACACTGCTTCTCTGAAAAAGCAGCGGTGTAATCAACAGCCAACTGCATAAGATCCAACCTGTCTTCGGGCTGTAGTGGATAAATATCTTTGCAGCTGTTTTTTTTTCAAGGACATGATATTTCTGAAACTTGACTGGTGTATGTGGAGAGATATTCTACATATCTTTAGACACTTGGTGATCGCGTATCTTTCAGTCCAACTTTTCTCACGTGCTTCTGCTGCATTCTCAATGTGCCCACCACCGTGTGAACGCTTACAATACGAAGCATCTAACTCACATTGCTAGCATACTGCTCCACTTAACCACGCTCCCTCGCAATATCCTGTGCTGCAATTGAGTATTTGTCAGTTTCTCCAAAGCGCGTCTCCCGCAGTTTCTGCCAGCCACTTGCAACGGGCAAAGCCGGCCGGCAAAGGGTCCATCAGCCGCTGTTCCAGCTAATGTCAGCCGTGCGCCGCTGACCAAAAATTATGTTGCGACTGGGCGTTCTGTTGCGACCGGACGTTCTGTTGCGACTGGGCGTTCCTGTAACACACCACGGGCGCATAGCTTCGACGGGGAGGAGGGGGCTGCCGCAGCGCCCCCGCCGATCAAGCCGGTCCGCCCAGCCGGCAAGGCCACCTAGCGGTCGGGAGGCTGGCGGCGGCATGGCCGGCACGCGCGGCTCCTTACCGGTGCAGGATGTTAGCCAGCGAGATGAGCGGGATGTCCTTGAGGTGGCGCGGCGCGTGGTGAAGCGCGATGCGCAGACAGCTGGCGGCGCGCGGCCCGTCGCCGCGCACGCGCCAGTACAGCGCCGCCGCCGTCGTCAGCACCCACGAGGTCGAGTTCTGCCGGGGAGGCAGGATTACGCGTCGACACAGAGTGGCGTCGAGGCGGCGCGCGCGCCGAGGGACTGTAAACACAGTCACGCCATCTCCCTGGCCAGCGAGATCTGTGGTTCACTCCTGACCACGCCATCTCCTGTGGACTCTGCAGTCCGCTCTCCTGTTTGCTCCAAGGCATGTCGCTGGACTGAGTCATACCCACGGACATGTCGAGTACTGAGTCGAGGTCATCCGTAAACCCAGCACAAGGACGCCATGACCACACCGCGGCCGCGGCGGTACCGCCAGCGCACGCCACGCAGCGTAGCACTCGCGGCACGCCGCCGCGTCACGAGCCGAGGCCCCGACACTGGGCCGCTGAGCGGATCACGACCCCGAACGGCCGGCTAATCGGACCCGCGCGACCCGAGGCCGGCCTGGCGCGGCGCGCAGACCTCGCCCGCCCGCCCGCCCGCCCGCCCGCCGGCCGCGCCCGGCGACCCGCTAATCCCTGGGTGCGGACGGGCCGGCTCGGCGCCGACGACATGCCGATGCGACGCGGCCGAAGCGCGGCCCGCCGAACCCGCCGACGCCGCCACGGCGCGGCGGCGGCTGATCCGTGAGACCCGGGGTCCGGAGCCGCGCAGGCCGGCGCCACTCGGCGTATCGCTCCGAGCGGCGCCGGCGCGCGGCCTCTCACCTTGTCCATGCTCGGCGGCTGATCCGTGAGACCCGGGGTCCGGCGCCACTCGGCGTATCGCTCCGAGCGGCGCCGGCGCGCGGCCTCTCACCTTGTCCATGCTCATGGCGATGCGCGTGCCGGTCTCGTCGACGGTGCGCGGCTGGTCGGCGGTGAGCGCCTGCAGCGCCTCCTTCAGGCCGGTCTCGGCGCTGATGGACAGCTGACGCCGGTGGCGCACGCCCGACAGGTTGTCCAGCGTGGCCATCGAAGCCGGGAACTGGTCCGGACAGACGGGCTGGCGCGGCTGGTACACGCCCATCGGCGCCGGCACCAGGTCCACGCTGGCGGGACGGACGCACACCCGTCACCGCTGCACTCAGGGTGCCCGGGTCAGGTCACAACACACCAGTCCTTCCACTGTCGCGCCGTCCGCATTAGAGGGATAGGCAACGGAGGGGGGGGGGGGTCGCCTGAGGTCCTTTTTGGTTGTTTTAGCGCTGCAGATGACTCCCGACATGTAGCTAAAAATTAGCCGAAGTTACACTGTACAATAAAGTACGACCCCTCAACATTGCGCAGACATATCCAAAAAGGTCGACACTGTAATCTTTTTACGTGTTCTTATCACGAGACCGCAGAACCAGAAAACCTCTTTAAGAAAACCCCGGCTGCGTCCGTGTGGGCACGCCTGTCAGCGGCCACCTAGGGGGCCTCATGTCAGGTCACAACGCACGTCACCACGCGACACAGAAACACCGTGCCCGGGGTTTCCCCGAAGCTACTCTCTGCCGTCACCAGCCCCCCCCCCCCCCCTACGCCGTCACCACCCCTCACTCACACCACGTTCTTGGCCGAGACGGACAGCCACGTGGACGTGTACTGACTCCAGTTGATCTGCTTGATGTCGGCGCACTGCTGGGCGCTGGGCGGCGGCGCGGCGGCGCGCTCGCGCACGCGCAGCAGCACGTCCGGCAGCGGGTCGTCGACGATGCCCCGCTCGTCCAGCGACGGCACCGGCTCGGTGATAACGTCCAGCTGCTCCTCCAGCTCGTACTCGGCGTCCGCCGGCGGCTCGTCCGGCTCGTGCCGGGTGTCGGCCGACTCGGGCGGCGCCAGCCGGTCGCAGCGCAGCTGCTCCTCGGCCAGGTACGGCGCCAGCTCCGGCGGCGGGAACGACGGCAGCTGGTCCACTGCCGGCGCCGGGCGCGGCCGTCACGCCACGGAGGAGACGCCGACGGCGGCAGCCGCGCGCCGCGGCCCTCAGCCGCTCTTTAGCCGGGCGCATTGGTGTGCGATGCCGACGGCGCCACACCAAACACGTTATCGGGACTTTAAGACCGACGCAGTGCATACACCTGCAATAATTCCGCTACGTCGGAGCCTCAAGGTCAGGTGGGGCGGCTACTCCACGATCCCTCGCCTTTTGCGACGCCACTACTACGCCATCACAGCAGCTTAAGCGGACGGGTCGCACGCGTCACGACACACCCGGATTGGGAGTAATAACGGCAGCTGGCTCCCTAAATAGCCGCGGCACGAACACGGCTTCCAAATCGGCCACGCCCGTGGGCGGACGGGCGGACGGGCGAGCGAGCGAGCGAGCCAGCGGGCGGCCGGCGGCGCACCTGCGGCCAGCTGAGCGCCGTCCGGACCGCTGCAGTCCAGCTGGTCGGCCAGCGCCGGCGTCAGGATCCAGCGGCCGTTCTCGTTGCGCGCGTTGTAGCAGCTGATCTTGGACTCGCACGCGTCGCGGCCCTGGCCGTCGGCGCACTCGGACGTGCAGACCACGGAGTCGGGCGGCATCTTGGACAGCTTCTCCAGCATCGGGTCCCGCTCGGCCGGCGTCTGGGCGCAGCGGAGGACGGTCAGCGTGTCACTTCGCTGCCGCCAGCCGCCGCCGCACGCTCCACGCGGGATGAGAGCAGGGCACGGCACGGCAAGACGCGACATCACACCGCCATCACGTAACGGCAGCAATGAGCGTGTCGGGACAGCCTCTACAGCAGCACGCGCCTCTGCCGAACCGAACATGCGTCTGACGCCATTCCAGGCTGTCCCTGGCCAGAGTCTGGCACCGCTACACCAGACTGACCTGCGCAGGGCTCTGGCACCACTGCCCCACACTGACCTGCACCGAGGTCTAACACCACCGCCCCAGAATGACCTGCGCCGGGGACTGACCTGCACCGAGGACTGACACCGCTGCCCCAGACTGACCTGGGCTAGAGTCTGGCACAGCTGCCCCAGACTGGCCTGCACCGGGTCTGGCACCACTGCCCCAGACTGACCTGCGACGGGGTCTGGCACCGCCGCCCCAAAATGACCTGTGCCGGGGTCTGACCTGCACCGAGGACTGGCACCGCTGTCCCGGACTGACCTGTGCCGTGGTCTGACCTGCGCCGAGGACTGGCACCGCTGTCCCGGACTGACCCGCGCCGAGGTCTGGCACTGCCGCCCCAGAATGACCTACGCCGGCTCTGACCCACACGAGGACTGGCACCGCTGTCCCAGACTGACCTGCGCCGGGGTTTGACACTGCTGCTCGCCCCGCTGGTGGCCGTGGTAGCGGGTGTAGCAGGAGACGACGCGCAGGTACTCCAGCGCCGCGCTGTGTGTCGACTCGGCCTGCAGCGCGCTCCGGTAGTGCCACACGGCGCCCGAGAAGTTGCCCTTGGCCGCCAGCAGGTTACCCAGCAGGAAATTCGTCTCCGGCTGAAGACACGAGCACGCATGTGGTGATCAGTCACAGACAACCGTGCTCGGACAGAGCAGCGCTGACACTGGTTTCTAGCACATTGCGAGTTGCTATTCCGAAAAAGTCGCCTTTTATACATCAGGAAGTAACGGTGAAATGGAGATATCAAGCAATGTCTGGAAAATCTTAAGAGAATACTCGATGTTTCCAGCAGAGCTCACCGTCGTAACGGGGCAATGCCAGCAATGTGAAACATAATCTATATCAATATAATCATAATCTATCCCAATGACATCTGGATGTATTCGTGTAACCAGCGCCTCCTGGTATGATGAAGGCCGGTTGTTTTAAAAATAAGAGCTCATAATGCCGAAAAACAGGTGCCTCTCAAGGTTACCTAATTTCTGGGACCTTTACGTTACCATAAATTGTTTCGAGCGTTACACATGCTCACTCTTCGTCTGCTGCATGTGTCTCTAAGAGTCAAAGAGAGCGCGGCTAGGACTGCATTGTGGGACCAGCCAACGCAAGGTCACTTTGACAGAAAGTGTATGCACTAATGGACGAGAACAGCGACGGACACAATGGCGACTAGTAAATCATACATTATAGCACGGGACAAAACTGGAACTAGACACCCGTTAAGACCGGGTTACGTCGCATATGAGCGGGGCGAGTGAAAACGCCCAAAAACCATGAAGTCATGAAGTCATAATGCCATATGCACCAAGGTCATAATTGAAAGGCACACAAATGTGGGATGCTCCCTTTAAGTGAAAACATGAGCATGTCCTCCATCAACGCTACTCTCTCTCTCTCCACTCCCCGGGAATAATAAAAATGAGCTATCGTGTCACACAGAAACGCTGGTCATAACTAAACTGGGACAAAACGTGCACACCGAGACCAACAAAGTGCTCCGGCTCAGGTCCATCTCCTTCCCGCCCCACCAACCAGCGTTCCGTCCGTTTTCCAGGACTGCTCCCGCTTCACCGACGCCTGCGCGCAGTAGCAGCCGCCTCAGCCTGTCCGCTCCACTTCCTGGTCACCCTCAAGCTCACTCGCAATTCGCCAGCAGCACGGGCGACAAGCCAGCGTCCACACAAGCGGCGGCGCCGACCGTCCGTGTCCCGACGGCACCACACGCCGCACATCCGGCCGCCGCCAGCGCCGCCGGCGCGCCCTCACCTCGACAGGGTCGGCCTTGTACGCCTGGCGGGCGAGCTTCAGCGCGCCGTCCACGTCGTCCAGCCGGTAGAGCACGGCAGCCAGGTTGGCGAGCGGCACGTCCACGAACTCGGCCGGCACCGAGTGCAGCGCCGAGCGCAGACACTCGATGCTGTTAGCCAGGCTGCCCTGCGCGCGCCAGTAGAGCGAGGCCAGCGTCTGCAGCACCCAGGCCGGCGCCGAGCCCTGCCAGCAGAGGGCGGCGCTCAGCGCCCGTCTACAGCCGGGCCCGGAGGCTGACGGCCATTGCTGGCACGCGGTGCGAGGGCAGCTCTGAAGTGACGGCACAGTGCTGACATGTGCCACCGCCAGCACTTAGTCTGCTTAGCGCAATCATCACGGTCAAGGCAAGATCTCAACAAGCCGCACAGAAGCGCGTAACAGTGCGACTACGGTCACCGCCACGGATCACCCCAACCCGCGCCATGGTCCCCTCCGCCGCTCTCTCTGCCAGGGACTGAACACGGCCTGTCGCGCCGCCGCCACCTGACCCCACCATTGCGCCGTCGAGCCGGACCGCACCTGCTTGAGCGCGGCCGTGATGCGCTGGCCCAGCTCCGCCTCAACCGTCTGGCGACCGCGCGCGTACGCCATCAGTGCGCGCGACGCCACCGGGTCGGGCCGGCGCTGCGTGACGCGCGTGCGGCCGCGCACCGTCTCCATCGTGTCGTAGGGCAGCACGCGCGCCTGCACCGGCTCGCAGGCGGGCCGGTACCAGGGCAGCGCGTGGTCGTCGCTGAGCGGTACGCCGATGCCCGCGTTCAGGAAGTGGTCGACGCTGGCGGTGGACGAGGCGGTCGCGGGTCAGGTCACACGCGGAGGCGGCCGCGTTGGCGCGCGCTGCGGGGCCTCCATCACCCATCCAGGGACAGGTCGAGTCGGGCCGCTAAAGGCTTGAAGAAGGGACTGGCACAGTTCGGGGAGAAACGCGACAGCAAGAACGCATGACCACACAGCTAGTAGGCGCGTTCCGTCAGGGAGCACTCACTCGAAGCCCTTGTTGTCGGGCGCCAGGAACACGGAGGGAAACTCGTTGGCGCCGGGGAACTTGGTGACCTTCTGGCCGCACTCGTCCTGGGACGGCCAGTCGGGCCGCAGCAGCCGCTCCGTGCCGGACGGGTCGAGCGCGGTGTAGCGGCGGGGCAGCGTGGGCCGGTCGCCGTCGGTCGTCGGCTCGGCGCCCCGGCTCAGCTTAGAGACCTGCTCCTCCAGCCGGTCGGCCTGCCGCAGACATGCGCCTGTTACCACCGGCGCCCCGTCACCGCCCGTCACACCGCAGCGTCAGGCGCACGCGTCCCGCCGGCAGCAGCCGCACAGCAGACCGACACGCTGGCGTCTCACTGAACTGGCCATGGCCAGCGCCGCAGCCTCCGGGCCACGCCACGAAAGTACACCTGTTCGCGTCAGACTACGTTCAACTGCAATCAATGCCTAGCCAACATCCTGCGCCTTCTGCAGCCGGGAAAGTGTCACCGCGGCGCCAGGCAAACGCCTGAGCCTCAGTGGCCCGGCGTGGACAGCGACGCTCGCCTTGGTCTGCAGGTCGGAGAGCTTGGTCTGCAGATCGGACACGGTCTCCGAGCCGCCCTCGCCGGCAGCTGCCGCCATGTTGCAGCTGAGGATACTCTGGCCGTTCTGGTAGTAGCGGAAGCAGGTGTGCCCTGGCCACAGAGCGGGGCGTCAGCCGGCTGCCGGTCACGCTCGGCGCCTGCCTCGGTCGCGGCGGCAGCGCGCGCCGCACCGTCCGACGCTGACTGCGCAGACGCGACCCCTGCCGGCCGCTGCCGAACACGGCTGGCTCTGGCCGTTGTCACGGTGAAGCTTCCTCGCCCCACCGCTCATTCTGTCATCTGTCATGTCACCGCACATGTCAACGTTCAGAGTAGCGGGCTGTGAGGAAAGGAGACAAACTTCAGAATGCCAGCTCTTCGGACACACGGCTCAAGCTGTCGTGTCCGTCGGCTCAGCCAACGAGGAACAAGGGTCACAACCCACTTCTTTGCTTCGCCAGAATTACTTTTCCAGCCAAATGACTGGGCGCACAACTGGACGCACATTTTCGGCATCCCAGTTTTCAGCATTTTGTTTATGAAAATATGCAGGTCCGACTTTTCATATGGTATGGGTGATGATTCCTTTGACGAGGTCATACCACGTGCATCTCGAGTTTTGAAGTCCGATGACGCTTTTTTTCGTCGCGGAATACGCGTTCCAAAGGACTTCACTGCGCACATATTTGTTGCATATTGTCGTACGGTGATAATGCGATTCAAAAATTCCACTTTGGGCCGTTGTCCAAGGCCAGACGCGGAAAATGCGAGTGAAGTTTGCCTGTAGGCACCATCTGTTGTGCCTGCACCGCGTTTACTCCCCGAAATAACTGGGTGGATGCTAAGCACACTATGCCCGCCCTACGTAACCTGGCTTCACACGTCACAGGTCACGTGCCCCGATCGGCTAACATGTCACTCGGCACGCCGATGGGTATACCGTATCGCTTTATCCACAAACATAGCACGGGTCTGGAGAGACGAGAGGACCAACATCGCTTAACCTATCTGGTGTGACCTGGCTTACCAATCAAAGGCCACTTACACCCGTATTCAATAGCATTAATCTGATGCAGTTTCGCATAACCTATCCTATGCTATTTGGGCTTGGCCCTATCAACCCCACTTTCGCAATAGTAGTTTAATGTTTCAGCGTGAGCCACACAGACTGGAGGGCGCCGGCATCAGGCACAGGCGAGAAAATCGGTCTTTTGGCGGGGGTTGAGAATGGCCGTCACACCTTCCCACCGGTCGGCGGGTACGCGCGAGGAGAGCTCGCGCACCCTGACGCCTGGCTGTGGCGCTCACCCTTGCCGTCGGAGCTCTCGCGAATCTTCTGCTCCTCGTAGTTGAGCCTGGACTCGATCTTGGTGTCGAGCTCGGCCTGCTCCCGGATCAGCTTCTCCTGCTGCTGCAGCCACAGCGTGTGCTGCTTCTGGTAGCTGCGCAGCTCGGCCAGGGTGTTCTGCAGCGAGCTGCGGGGGAGAGGGCGCCGTCAGCCGCGGCCCGACCGGGGACACGTTACAGACTCCCCCACGATGAGCGCAGCAGTCAGAGCAGCACACACGCTCCCATACTTTAAAACCGATAGCGGCAGTTACGCACACCGCGCCCGGCCACAGGCCAGTTATCATTGTTCCGTCCAGCGCGGCAGTCCGCGCACCAAGCCCCGCCACCCAAGCTTCGACATTATCTCAGCGACCACGACCGTTCACGTATCTGAACCGGCCTCCGACGCTGCATCCCACTTACACGGACGGACCGCGGCCGTCCACACGCGAGACCAGCCGACACAGGCAGTGCAACAGTCGCGGCACGTCATTATTCACACGTCCGCTCACGTCCTCTGCGTTTCCCCACACGACAAACGACGTTCACATACAAAACATTGCCGAGCATCGCGCGACAACAACAAAAAGGAAAGAAAAAAGAGCTAACAGATCGCACGCGACCACACTCGGCCGTGGCCAGCGAGGGTGTCGGTGCCGACGGCGGCGGCGCCGCACGTCGGCCGCTCACTTGTGCTGGCTCTCGAGCGCCGTCTCCAGGCGCTCGTGACAGAGCACGGCGTGGCGCCGCTTCAGCGCCCCCTCGTGCTGCGGCTCCAGCTTGACGGTGTTGTTGAAGCAGGTGGCCGAGCGGTTGTAGTCGCCCAGCACGGCGTAGGCGTTGCCCAGGCCGTAGTGAGCCTCGGCGCTCTGGTCGTGGTGGTCGACGGCTGCGTGCAGCACGACCGCACCGCTCTCGCTGTGGTGGCACCGGTGCAGGACCACGCCCAGGTCCACCAGGCTGACGAACCGCTCCACCCTGGAGGGCCGCGCCAGTGGCCGGTCAGCGCCGCCGGCCGCCAACAGTACGGTACTCCCTCCGCAGCATTACGGCACGCTGGGACAGTAGCAGCACTAGACGAGCCGCATCTCGTCATCCATTGACAGCACCCATATTTCCCGTATCGCGGCACACTTCATGGGTGGAGGTAATGAGACGTGGGTATATATCTAGTTGTTTACTTTACGTTGCCTGACGGACGTGCTTACACCAGCAGTGACATGCTGTACAGCAGCTCCCGGTATAACGCCACCGACGGGGTCGGGCACGAGCGGCGGAGACATGGCGCGCCACAGGCGAACGCTGCGCCGCTGCACGGCTCTCTGGCCAGCCGGAGAGTCGGTGTCAGACGCGCGCACCACCGGTCAGACACGGCGGGTGGGTGGTTCACTGACCTGCTGGAGAGGTGAATGGCGCGGCGACTGCACTCGACGGCGCGGGGCGCGTCGCCCTGGATGCGCCAGTACAGGCTGGCCAGCTGGTACAGCACCCAGGCGCCCGGGCGGCGGCGCAGCGCCAGCTCCACCCGGTGCCCGAACTCGTGCACGTTCTGCTGGCCGACCAGCTCGGCCAGGCCCAGCTCGGGCGCCATGGACAGGTGGCGGCGGTCCTTCATGCCCTGAGGCGCGTGACGTCACGACCAGGCGGAGTCAGCCGAGCGGCGAGGCCGGCTGGCTGGCCGCCAAGCCGCGGGTCCGCAGACCGGGAGGGTGCGGACGGCTCGCGGGGTGAGCGGAAGGGAACAGGGCCGGCTCGGACGTCATAGACGGGGACGAGGGAGCCGCGCGTCCCGAAACGGGACCACTAAGAGCACGCAAAAACACGAAAAACACACCGGGAGAAGGGAAAGGTGGTGACGAACAGACAGGACGATCCCTGCGAGAACAGATTCCAACATAACGTCGTACGTATTACAACGTGACGATATACCACGGCAAAAACAGAGTGTACCAGACAAGCCAACAGTGATCACAAACATACCCATTTAGTATCTGTCTGTTCGAAAGTTCCTTACGTGCACTGCTTCACCATGCTTTGCACAAGGTTCCTCATCAATGGCTCCCAGGCAATCGCGGCATCGGATGCAGCCTCTTCTACGCTGTCATCGGGGGCGAGCAGACACGCCAGGGCGGGACGAGCGCGGCAGATGACGCCCGTCTCCGCCCAGCGGGGACCTACCACCAGATGCTGGAACGTGTCCATGCTGTAGTCGAGCGCCTTGTGCGTCTCGCAGTCGGGCGGCACCAGCTCGCCGGCCACATGCTTCGAGTCGATGTAGTCCTCGATCCTGCAGACGGGCCCATTCACGGGGCTGGTCAGGAGCTGGTCTGGACCACGCGAGAGCGGGAGCCAACAGCGCATCGGACGAGCCGGCCGGAAGCCTGACCGGACACCTACGCAAATACTTCACATACACACATATCCACCCACAAATACCCCAGAACCTGCTAAAACGGACACCCCGTTTTAACAGTCGGATCTCGGCGCAGCAAGCGGCGAGGAGAAACGAGAAGTCAGCAGCCTGTTGGCGTGCCGGCCTTAAGTGGCCGGCACCGCGGCATCACTCGCGGGCATGGCTGCGCGACGACGCGCCAACGGCACCGACACGCGCGTGCGGCGGTCGCTGACCTGATGCCGTACTTCCGCAGATTGACGGCCACGCTCGGGTACAGATCGAACTCGGTGAGCGGCTGGCCGGCCACCAGACAGTGCGGGTCCTCCGTGTACAGCTTCTTCTCCACGTCCTGGTCCCGGTCGTCGTTCTGGTCGATCTCCACCTGGAGTGTTGCGGATAGCGTTCAGCAGGGGACCGGCGGCCGCCGTCACAGCGGCTCCGGACGGGGAGCGGCAACACGGCCTCCGGGCGGGGAGCAGCGACACGGTCTCCGGACGGAGAGCGGCAACACGGCCTCCGGACGGGGAGCAGCGACACGGTCTCCGGACGGAGAGCGGCGACACGGTGACCGGACGGAGAGCGGCAGAGCGGCGACACGGCCTCCGGGCGGACGCCCACTCCTGGCCCACCAGAGGAACAAAGCAGCTGGGCCGCAAAACGACGGCAGTCGGAGCGCCCTGAACCCCAATGGCATCATCATCATCATGAACCCCAATGTCATCATCTGCAGTGACTGGGTCGGGCGGCTGCCAGAGCCCATGCACACGCTATTAAACTGACGGCTGGGGCACACGAGGCTACTGAGTTACAATATTTTGCGCGGCGATGAAATTAAATTTAATGGCATTTTTGTGTTGGGTTTCATTGCACCTTTCTCTGAGCGGCCTCCGGTAACACCTGGGATAGCCATGCGAGTCTCTTCTACCGGCATGTCATTCAGTTTCACTCCTGGCACACCAAAGAGAACGCCCACTGACGCGGAGAGCCCCAGAGGAGATGAAATTCAGTTTACCAACTACAACCTTGCATGTTACCACCCTCTTTTGGTCACCTTCCATCCAGCGTTTACCGGAGGATGGTAACGGGAGGCAGTGTCTGAGATGCAGCATTCAGCGCAAGCGTGGACCACTCAGTGCCAACGCATCCTGGGCCGACGGAGCCCTCCCTGCCACCTCCCACCTTGTGAGTGAGCAGGTCCTTGTGCAGCGACTCCACCATGGAGGCACGCCGCTCCTGCTGCGCCATCGAGATGAAGTCGTAGGGCCGCTTCATGAAGAAGATCGAGTCCATCTGGAAGAGGCCAGCACCGGCGACCGGTCAGCGTTCGAGCCCCGGACGTGTGCAGCTGCACCGGCGGTGGGGGCAGACGACAGTGACAGGACAGCACACAGTTGACAGTGACGGCTGGCGGGGGGGGGGGGGGACTGTCCGGAAATCAGCTCCCCTGTCGTTGATCGTCAGCCGACACAAATCCCCATGCTTCAGATACATCCAGCCCAAACACCGTACACTCTCTAAGGAGCCATCGCCACGAGCTGTTCGGGCTCGCAGCGCCGTGCTTGCCTGAGCCTGGATGCGCCCGTCCTCGGTCATGATCCAGTGCGTGGAGCACCAGCTGCCAGGAGGCGGCCACGGCCAGGTCAGCAGCAGCAGCAGCACGCACCGCATGGCGCCGCTCGTCCTGAAACCAGTGCCAGTCACCAATCACCCGCTCAGCACACCTGTGCGCCACAACCACGCTGTTTCCAGCAGCTTTCCTGGTGCAAACCAGCAAGGCACAGCACAAAATACCAATTATGCATCTTAAGTTGAAAAGGAACCCCAAAATACTAGAGTGGAAAAATATTGCAAAAAAATATCTGCAAATGAGAGAGGCAGAACATAAGCTTTTGACATACCATTAAACTTATGCAGGCAGCTACCTCCCAGGTCACCTAATAAGATGACTCATGCTCCTCTCTGATGCCATGCAGTCTTCAGGATGCAGTGCTAACAAAATTGTCTTCAAAGGCACAACAATGGCATTGCAATCAGTCAGGCAAATCAGCAATCAGGCAAAACTCAAAAACACTTAACCTGCCCAATAATTAGGCAGTTCACCCACCTGCCAATATTAGTAAAATCCCACCCAGCATGACGCTCCCTGATGACGAGCAGCACCCATGGATAGGCAGGAGGGACATATGTTTTGTTTTACCTATCCTTAAATTTTAAAAGGTCTCACATGTTTTTTGGTAATATTTTCTAAAAAAGTTGCATCACCTCCTTGAGACCTGACGAGCTATCCTGTTTGTTTTGTACATGGTGGGCCAGAATTTTGCAGACAATGATCAGGAACAGTTCCAAAGCTTGATTTTGGGAAAGACCTCTGCTGAACTTTGCCATCAACATCCATGCCCCCATATCAACATATCCCTTTGCCTTCCCATGCATCATTGGTGGTTTGACAAAAACATGAACAAAGTGCATGTTGACATGCATGGAGTGTTGCAGCTTGAGATATAGTTTTAAAGCAAACACCATGGAGGATTTAAAACAATATGATGAGATATTGAGGTCAGCACGCTCCTGTGCCAGGGCTAAGCCCACAAGCAACCAAAAAAAATGTCAGGCATGGGGAGAAATAACTAACTGTTCACTTCTCTAGTGGAGCCTCACTGGTGTTCTAGGTAAATCAGGAATGTGTATGTGGTACATAGAAACTTTTTTGTACTAGGGCAGTTCCATGAAGCATAACAGAGGAAGAAAAGGCTGCAACACTACCAGTCAAATGAGCACAATTTTATCCTCCTCAACACTATGGGAGCATCTCCATTTTTATAAGGTTATTGGTGCTATCTAAAATGCACTTCAGGATATCTAGCCAACAAATTGCACAGCTTATAGCATATATCATGCCAAATAAAGATATTTCATTTGATTCCCCAGTTAGAGAAGGCTGATCACTAATAGGAAACCAGAGAAGGCAGCATGTGCATCACAATTCAGGTATCAAATGGCTTAACAAGATTTTATAAATGGATACTGGTAGGTGCTCTACCAAAATAATAGGACCTAATACAGATGTTTACATTTCCATAACTACTTTCAAACCAATTTGTTTACCTGTGCCTCAGAGAAGTGACAGATGATGACTTGGTAGATAGGAAAACATGCCAAGTTTATTATCAACAGTACTCCAGAGAAAATATGCATGCATAGTGGGCTATTAACATCCAAAGTCATTACACATAAGACCAGGGCCAACATGCTGCTGGATGCCTTTTCCAGGACAGGAATTTAAATGGAAAGAATAATTTGGAGCTTTCATAGCAAATGAATACAATGAATAATGTCCATCCAAACCCCCCAAGAGCCTGTAGGAACAGCCATGCTCCTAGTGGTGCTTCTGCAATTACCATGCCCACATTCCATGTCATATACATATATATATATATATATGTATATATATATATATATATATATATACTTACTACACCACAACAGAATAACAAAACCAAAACATTGAGTCCAGAAGACTGGCATATACCATCTACAGCAGAGATACCTTACCAGTCAAAAACACAGCTAGTGCATCATGCTCTATAATTGCCAGGAATAAATAATGTTTATATGGGTTCAAATACTACCCAGTGTGAAACATCTTGATCAATGCAGACATTGGCAGCAAGGTGATGGTTTCCTTTTTGCAGGAGGGGAGGGAGGGAGAGCTCCTGTTGTTTAAGCTTTTAGAAGAAAAGGGGCCTGGTTCAGTGTGAAACCTAGACTTGCATTGCTTTTTGGCTCTATGTTTAGCCATTTTTCCCTGCTCAGACTCCTGCGTCCTCTTTTAAAAACTAGTCATCAGCTGAAAGCCACTCAAAAAAACGTGAAGAGTAATTATGATAGGATTCACACCACCCCACTTCATCAGAATTACCATGAATTCCTTACAGATCCGATGACATCGCAGTTTCTGCCAAGGTATTTTTGGAAACATCTGCCACCCGTGTTAAAAGCCCAGACAAGTACAAAAGTCACAGAGGTGTTCCATGCAAAGCTGACATAAAAGTTCCTTAGGTTGTTTCAGTAGGAATGTCAGTATCTTTACCAGGCGGTGATGCGAGTAAAATTGGGTTCCTTATCTTCACATCCAGCGTAATCGGAGCTTGACCCTAGCATGCATTATCAACAAACCTGCGCTGCAAAAGCAGCGCAGATGTTACAAATCATCACAGCTGTTGGCTACCATATAAAGTTTTACTGCCATGAATGGTGAAAGATCATGCTAAACGGGACAACATAGCTTTCAGGCACAGTTTGCATTATCAGCTATTGACAGAAGATAGTACTAGGTGTCTGGGCAAATTACATGTCGTTGGTCGCGGGCAGTGATGATTTGATGTTCACTGCTCATCATCAAGGGCCGTTTTTTTGGATAAGCCAGACATGTCCTGGGCCTGGAAAACGGCCCTCGTTGCAAACAAGCCTCTAGGTACCACGCAACGAGTAATCAATATGTCTACTGGTGGGTCGTGCTGCAAAGGGGATGGGAGCCTCCACCAAGTTAGCGAAATTGGACGTTGTGCTATGAGCCTTTATTGTGTTATACCGTAGTGTGGTGCAGTGCCCATATGCGCTGTTGTGGGCGACGTGCCCGTGCCAGGCACCACACATCGCATCGCTTGGCACGGCCGCGCCCCGGCCGACGGCGCTGCGGGCTAGTCTAAGTCACGTGGCCTCGACCTCTGGCCAATCAGCGGCGGCCCTTGGTGGGGCCGAGCCGAGGTCAGGCACGGGGCGCGAACGGGGGCCAGTCGAGTCCTAGCTTCCGACTGACGAGGCCGGCGTTCTATATGTCCCCGTCCTCGTTTTAAGCCGCCAGGAACGGCTAAAGGGTTTGTGCCCTACCTTGCCTACCGCCGGCGGCGCGGGGCACCCCCCGAGGGCCGCGACCCTGTACTCCTACCAAGCCCCAGTGGAGGCTCAGTGGTAATGAGCTCCGCTGCTTCCCCGGAAGATGTTGTGTCCGTAGAATGATGTTATGCATGTGATATAGCAGTATGATTGGGGCGAGGGATTAAGAGCGGTCACCAGCACAACATGGAGTGAGTTGGAGCGGCGTCTGGTGTAACGAATGGAAATAGCGCTCAATAAAATCCAATGCCTCCACCAAATGTCTCTCCTTGGTGTATATTCCGCATGCGCCCAATGCATCCAGGAGCTGTACTGAGGTGGTTGGCTGCAAGGATGCGTTAACTCCGTGATTAAGGACCAAAATCGTTCTTCATTCAAAATTCTTATTTGTCAATTTCAGGGCTTCAGGATGGAAACAAAACGTATCTCGCTGCTTCATTTCCTTTAGCAGGAAGCTTTCCTCTAAATCATTTGAATAACTTTGTGCTACAGTTGGCATGCGTGTTGATCGCCACGAACAACCAGAGTATAGAAGTCCCGCACTGTTCCGTGAATTCACGCGCACACGCCGCTTATGACACTCATAGATGTGCACGATATCGGTACACCGTGAGAGGTCTGTAGCAGCAAGGCGACTGTTAAAATCTCATCGGCCATGTTATCAGCCTGAATGAAGCTCACATCATAATTGACACATCAAGGTCTCCAGCCCATTTCCCCATCATTTATCCCCTCCACAGTATCCTGAAAGGCGATTTCTCAAGATCATTGAGGGAAATCAGTCATGGAAGTCGCCAGAAGCGAAAAGGTACGAAACTTCTCGGTTTTGTCCACTAACGCTCTAAGTTTTGTTTATATATATATATATATATATATATATATATAATAAGTAATCTACAGCTACCACATATTTTTTAAACCTCAGGTGCGTAACCACATTAACCACTTATGGAAGCATGACACTGCACCAACATGTTATGAGCGCACTTGTTTTGTGTCGGTGAAAGGGGTGAAGTTATGCCTCTCTCTGGCATATTGAGAAGTAAAATATGCGTATAATTTACGATTATCCAATTTTTATGCATCACAACCCTTTACACGCAGCTTCTCGCTACACCAAAGTTTCATCGATAAACAATATTGTGCATTTCAAGCAGTGTAAAGGAAAACAGAAGCACTCCTCCACGCCTGAGTCCCGGAAATGGTCCTAGGCCTTTAACCAAATATGCTTTGGCAGATGTCCTCCTGTTGAAGATGTCTCTTTCGCTCATCTCATTACACACGCATTCCATGCCCGCTGTGCTTCTAGCCCAGTAAATATTTTATCGTGGCCCCGGCTGGTCCCAGGCGGGCAGACTGGATGGACAGTGGCAGGACGCCCAGCGGGGCGCGGATGGCCCTTGCAACATTTGTTTGATAGGGCGCGTGCGAGCTCTTTTTCGACTGTTTCTTCGAGCTGGGAACCTGCCTGACCCCACCTGGTAGACGCGCTGTGTACCAGCTGGGCACAAGTCCGTGCCCGGAATGGACCCGCAAAAAACCTGCGCGGCAGAGCGGAATACATGATGGGTCCAACAAGGGCGTCAGCTGGTCTCTGGCACGGCGCCAGGTGGGCTCTGACACTGCGCCAGCTGGGCTCTGACACGGCACCAGCTGGGTTCCGACACGGCGCCAGCTGGGCTCTGCACGGCGCCAGCTGGGCTCTGACACGGCGCCAGCTGGGCCCTGACACGGTGCGAGCTGAGCCCTGGCTACGCAAAGCAGGACTACCCGAGTGGGACTGAGTCTGGCACATACCCGTTTTTTTATCCATGCCACCTGGAGTGAGCAGTGCAATGCTTGACTCAACAACAGTTTAATATTTTGTTCCCTGATCCCACCTGGCTGCAGTACAGGTCGTTTAAAGTGATAACGCACCTTCTGACACTGTGCTGTTTTAGTTTGAACATATTCATGTTATAAATATGCATAAAAACGGCCTCAACCCTAGCAACCCATGTCTTTTTTTTTTTGCTATATGAAAGGCTCATACAGCACTGGAAAAGGTACCTAATGTTTTGTCAACTTTGGAATGCATTCCAATTTTAACCAAGGTCACATGGTATCGCGTGGACTTCACCAGTAATCATCACAGAATGCTAGGCAGTAAATCTGGCACACTGCTTTCCTATTCCGAAGACGAAATTCGATGGTAGCCGTTTCCAAATAAGATAATGACGTTTGGGACTGCATTCGCGAGCAAGGCTATCGTTCTTTGGGATCTGCAAGGACCTGGCTGGTCTTGCAACCTGGTTTTTAATTGCCATTTTCTAATAAATGGGGCCTCTAAGGGTACTTGAACTGACATCTGCATGATATGGCCATACGAAAAGCGTCCTTATCATTTGTATCACGCCTAGTCTCACCCTCGCCTCACTCCACGTCCAGAAGTCATACCAAACTATGGTCACGACTTTATGGCATCTGACCTAAGTCAGTACATATTTTCATTTTAGAGGCTGGAAGTACATCCCTTAAAATATTTCACCAACTACACACTCCGATTAAACGGTTTACAGGTTGGTAAGGCTTAGTCAATTTTCAAACATATTTGAGCTCTGAAAGCAGATGACGCAAGGCCATTAACGAGGTCATGACCCATGGCCTGGCAATGGCCAATGACTGTGAAATATGGCTTCAAACCTCAAGGTCTTACCGTTACATCAACATCAATGCCAGCCGAAATATGGGATTGAGGATAAGTCGACAGTTCGATGGGCGAGCATTGTTCGCACGTTGGTGTTCAGTATAACCCGAGCTCCGTAAGTAAACGCTCCGCTGTAAAATGTCATCCCGTTCTTTTGCTTTTACGACAATAGATCACGGGATCCAACTCTGCCCACAGCCAAGCAGGGTATGAGAGGTCTCACAGCTCGGTGAAGGCCAGATTTTTTATCCAGGCCCTTGATCCAGCAGAGACCCCTCTCGCCAAGGGGCCTGCAGCACGATCTGATGCCAATGGATAGACGTCATGCAGTCCCGCCACATGGACGAGGCGCCGCCCTCCCAAGTTCCATTACCGTTGGAACCATTCGGAGATAGCAGCGTCGCTCTCTTTTATCGTTGCTGGCCTCCTGCCACTGAGCAAATGTCAAATCAACAGCCCATGGTAGAGGATGTCTGCTCTGAACCAACGCTGATGCCGAATACCACTTGTACTTTTGCCTGGTCCTACACAATACATTAGTAGGGTCAGACTAATCCAGCTCAACGGCGGTGAGTGACCTGCTGAGAGAGCATAGGTTAGGAGCTGTGCCAAACATCGACAGAGTAGATCAATTGCATTTATAATATCATCACAGATGAAGGAAATAGCCTGATCATTCCCTCATACTGGGTCACACTGGGTCATACTTCCATGAGGGTGTCAACTGAAGAAGCCATCTTAAAGACTTTTCTGTGCAGTTCACAGACCTGTCCTTCTTAAGACCTAAACACATATGGTTTCTGAGCTACACTCCAGAGAAAATGGAAAAAACTATTTCGGGGAGAGTATTTCAGGACCACCTCGGCATCCATCAGGTCATAGCAACGTCATTGAAATCCTACCATCCACAAGGCATGCGATGACCAAGGCCAGGAAAAATATAATGATCGAATCGTTCGTGTCTTGTATTTGTGAACATGATTTCCACATAAAACAGTCGTCAATTGGCTCTCAACCAATGCTATGCAAGGTACGATGATATAATAAAGCAAGGACGTATCGAGAAGCATGTTAATTAAGCAGAGAAAATGTGTTCTCTAAAGCAGTCTATTCTACTTAGAATCATACCGAAAGCTATAAGTGAGCTTGTTTCACCATATCCGGTGCTTCCTTCAATATTCTTGAATGTGAAACATCCCTTTAAGCGCCGCCTGCACTCGCGTGGTTTAAGTTCACGTTACAAATTTTATGCGCGTTAGCTATTTCTGCATTCTAGGATCTTCCTGGTACCAGAAAGATCCTGGTGTGAAATTTTATCCTAAGATTTTCTGTGATCAGAGAGCCATTTTTGCGGTTTCCTACATTGAAGTGATGAAATATTCAAGGATCTCGAGGAATTTTAGAGATTTGCTTGATTTTGCCCGAGATGCTTGGGGCTTCAAAGTATTTGGGGTATCCAAAGACATGTTCAAGTAATTCTCATACATTTATGGAATTACGAGGCCTTGGTAACTGCACCTGTGCAAGCTAGCATAGGGCACCTGAGTGGGTCTACGTCGCAGCTCAACCGTGATGATGTAGCCTGCGTATCAC